GGAGGATTAGCCTAGTGAGCCGCGCGCCGCCCAAATAAAATAAAATAAATCTTCAAAAAAAAGACAAAAACGAATAAATCCAGGGGCCAGTTTTGTGACTCAGCAGCTTAAGCCATCTTCTGCAGCACTGGCATTGATATAGGTACCAGTTTGAGTCCTGGCTGCTCCATCTCCAATCCAGCTCCCTGCTAATGTGCCTGGGAAAGCAGCAGAGGATGGCCCAAATCCTTGCGACTCTGAACCCATGTGGGAGACCCAAAAGAAACCCCTGGCTTCTGGCTTTGGCCAGACTCAGCCCTGGCTGTTGTGGCCATTTAGGAAGTAAATCAGGAGATGGAAGATCTCTGTCTTCCCCCTTGCCTGCTGCTCTGTAACTCTGCCTTTGAAATAAATAAGTCTTTTGTTTTTACAGATTTATTTGTTTACTTGAAAGGGAGAGGTCTTCCATCTGCTGGTTCACTCCCCAAATGGCCACAATAGCCAGAGTTGAGCCGATCTGAAGCCAGGAGCCAGGAGCTTCTTCCAGGTCTCCCATGTGAGTGCAGGAGCCCAAACACTTGAGCATCCTTCGCTACTTTCCCAGGAGCATCAGCAGGAAGCTGAAACAGAAGTAGAACAGCGAGGACTCAAACTGGCAGCCACATGGGATGCTGGCACTACAGGCCGGGGCTTTAACATGTTGCACTACAGCCCCGCACCCCAAAATAAATAAATCTTGAAAAAAATCAATCAATCCATTGGGGCCAGTGTTGTCAAATAGCTAAAGTCTGCCTGCAATGATGGCATCCCGTTTGTACCAGCATCCCATATGTGCACTGCTCCACTTCCAATCCAGCTTCCTGCTGATGGGCCTAGGAGGGCAGTGGAGGAAGGCCCAGGCACCTCCCCTGTACCCACATGGAGACCCGGAAAAAAGTTCCTGGCTCCTGGCTTCCATCTGGCTCAGCTACAACCATTGTGGGAATCTGGGGAGTGAAGCAGGGAATGGAAGACATTTTTCTCTGTCTCTCTCTGTCCAAAACTCTGCCTTTCAAATAAATAAAATAAATCTTTAAAAAATCCATTTTTAGAAATACATCATAAAAAATGGAGGAATAAAATTGCATCTGAAATTTCTTTTAATCAGGAAAAAAAGGAGATGAAGCAGAAATGACAAAATCTTATGCCAACTAAAACTAACAGATATATAGGAGTTTTAAACTGATATATAACTCACACACCATAAAATTCACCTTTTTAAAGCACACAATTCAGTAGTGGTTTTTTTTGGTGTATTACTGAGGTTGTACAACCATCACCATTACCTACTTTCAGAATACCTTCACCATGAAATACTATATCTATTAGCCATCACTCCCTAGTTAGTCTTCTCTCCCACCAACCACGAAAATCACTCTACTTTTTGTCTCTGTGAATTAGCCTATTCTGTACCTATATATTGGCCTATAGATAAATGGAATCACACATTTAGTGACTTTTTTAAAGGTTTATTTATTTATTTGAAAGTCAGAGAGAGAGGGAGAGAAACATAGACAGACATTTTCAATCCACTGGTTCACTCTCCAGAAGGCCACAACTGCCAGGGCTGGGCCAGGATGGAGCCAGGAAGCAGGAGCTTCATCAGGGTCTCGATGGGGATGGCAGGGGCCCAAACACTTGGGCCATCTTCTGCTGCTGTTCCTAGGCCATTAGGAGGAAGCTGAATTGGAAGTGGAGCAGCTGGGACACAAATCCACACCCATAAGGGATCCCAGGGTCAAAGGCAGCTGCTTTACCTGCTACACCATGCTGGCCCTATTTTGTGATATTTTATATGTATTCTTTCATTTAGCGTTAACTTGTTTTAAAAATATGTATTTTTTTTTATTTTTTAAAGATTTATTTATTTTACTTGAAAGTCATAGTTACACACAGAGAGAGAGGGAGAAGCAGAGAGAGAGAGAGAATCTTCCATCCGCTGGTTCAGTCCCCAAATGGCCGCAAAGGCCGGAGCTGCGCCGATCCAGAGCCAGGAGCCAGGAGCCTCTTCCAGGTCTCCCACGTGGGTGCAGGGGCCCAAGGACTTGGGCCATCTTCCACCGCTTTCCCAGGCCATAGCAGAGAGCTGGATCAGAAGTGGAGCAGCCGGGTCCCAAACCGGCGCCCATATGGGATGCCGGCACTGCAGACAGCAGCCTTACCCGCTACACCACAGCGCCAGCCCCAAAAAGATTTATTTATTGTGGGGCTGGCGCTGCGGCTCAATTAGGCTAATCCTCCCCCTACGGCACTGGCACCCCAGGTTCTAGTCCCGGGCAGGACGCTGGATTCTGTCCCGGTTGCTCCTCTTCCAGTCCAGCTCTCTGCTGTGGCCAGGGAGTGCAGTAGAGGATGGCCCAAGTCCTTGGGCCCTGCACCCGTATGGGAGACCAGGCTCCTGGCTTCGGATCAGCATGGTGCACTGGCCGCAGCGGCCATTGTGGAGTGAACCAACGGCAAAGGAAGACCTTTCTCTCTCTCTCTCACTGTCCATTCTGCCTGTCCAAAAAAAAAAAAAAAAAATTATTTATTGTGAAAGTCAGAGCTACAGAGAAAGAGGAAGAGAGACAGAGAGAAAGGTCTTCTATCCACTGATTCACTCCCCCAGTGGACACAACAGGCATGGCTGAGCCAGGCCAAAGACAGGTGTCACGAGCCTCAACTTGGTCTCCCACTTGGGTGGCAGAGCTCCAATCACTTGGGCCATCCTCCACTGCTTTCCCAGGTGCATTAACAGGGTGGAACAGCCAGGATACAAACCAGCATCCATATTGGATGTCAGCCATCACAGGCAGTAGCTTTGCCCTCTCTGCCACAATGCAAGTCCCAACATAACAGTTTCCAGATTCATCTATACTGTAGCATGCATCAACACTTTGCTCCTTTTCACAGATGAATATTTCACCATGAGAACATACTACATTTTGTTTATCCATTCAGCAACTGGACACTTGAGATGTTTCCACTTTTTGGCTACTGCAAATATTGCTGCTATGAACATTGATGTCCAAGGTTTTGTGTACATGTTTTCCTTTCGCTTGGGTATACACCTAAATGTGAAATTGCTAGTAACTCTATGTTTAATGTTTTGAAAAACTGTCAAACTCTTTTCCAAGTAGCTGCGCTTATTTTACATTCCCACCAACAATGCATGAGGGTTTCAATTTCTCCATATCCCCATTAACACTGCTTTACATCTTTTTGATTAGTCATCCTAGTGGGTATTAAATGATACTTCATTGTGGTTTTGAATTGCATTTCCCTGATGACCAATGATATTAAGTATCCTTTCATGTGGTTATTGCCCATCTGTACAACTTCTACAGAAAAATGTCTATTCAAATTCTTTGCTAATCTGTCTTTTTAATGTTGAGTTACGAGAACTCTTTACATATTTTCACCATAAGTCCATTTTTATATACATGATTTCTAATTGTATTTTATTTTTTCCCATTCTTTGGGTTGTCTTCTCCCTTTCTTGATAATGTCTTTAAAAAAAAGATTTATTTATTTCTTTGAAAAGCAGAGTTACAGAGAGACAGAGGCAGAGAGAGAGAGGTCTTCCATCCTCTGGTTCACTCTGCAGATGGCCGCAACAGCAGGAGCTGTGCCAATCCGAAGCCAGGAGCCAGGAGCTTCTTCCAGATCTCTCATGCAGGTGCAGGAGCCCAAGGACTTGGACCACCTTCTACTGCTTTCCCAGGTCATAGCAGAGAGCTGGATTGGAAGTGGAGCAGCCGGGTCTCAAACCTGCACCCATATGGGATGCTGGCACTGCAGGTGGTGGCTTTGCCAACTACACCACAGCACCAGCTCCAATAATATCATCTGAAACACGAAAGTTTTGATTTTTTTCTTTGTTATTTTCACAAATGCTTGTGTTGGTGGCTATCAATAGATCACAGGAAGGGAACTGCTCTGCTACCTACAAAACCCAAACCAGAAGCAGGTCCTCCAGGAATGGTTTAGCACCAAATTCCCCACAAATGTGCTGTTTGACAGATGAGGGACGGCCCCCTTTTTGGATGTACCCTATTTCCAAAACAAAGAGCTCTCTTCACCAGACCCCAAGTCCTAGTGCACAGAGGTCTGCTGGCAGGGACATAGGGAACTAGCTACCCAAGACTAACTGCATCTCCTTGGAGCTGCTGTATCATTCTTCCCAAGCGGGGTTCTAAGATGCATCAGACATAATCCCACAAAGTGTAGTTCTGTCTCACTGGCTCCTAAGCCAAGCACAGAAACCAGATGTCTTCAATTTTGATAAAAATCTCATTTATCTAATGTTTTCTCTTTTATTGCTTTTGAGTTTGGGTATTAATACTCTTCTTTCTACTTTCTTAAATAGCTGACATTTTTCGGGGCCGGCACTGTGGCGCAGTGGGTTAATGCCCTGGCCTGAAGCGCCAGCATCCCATATGGGCGCCGGTTCTAGTCCCGGCTGCTCCTCTTCCAATCCAGCTCTCTGCTATGGCCTGGGAAAGCAGTAGAGGATGGCCCAAATCCTTGGGCCCCTGCACCCATGTGGGAGGCCCAGAAGAAGCTCCTGGCTCCTGGCTTCGGACTGGCGCAGCTCTGGCCGTTGTGGCCAACTGGGGAGTGAACCAGCGAATGGAAGACCTCTCTCTCTGTCTCTGCCTCTCCTCTGTCTGTGTAACTCTAACTTTCAAATAAATAAATAAATCTTAAAAAAAAAAAAAAAAGTTGGTATTTTTCATCAAAGGTAACATACATATCCTGTAGCAATTTTTTTAGGTAAACAAATGTGCATTCATTTAGCAATATTATAGCCGATGATCGAGCAAGATCTTCTAAGTACTGAACTACAGTTTGGAGTTACATGAAACCATTGCTATATCTAAGCCTGGAACATATAGTTTTCAATTTCCAGATTTGATTTCCTTGAAGAAAGAGAGTGTACAGTACTTCAAAGGAATCAACACAAACCTGTAATTTTTTTTAACAATTTCCTCCATATGTATATAGTGTCCTGGCCATATCTAATTTGAGAGCAATTTCTCAAATGACTTACCTTTATTTCCAAAGCATTCAATTTCATTTTCTTAGAAACAATAATTTCTTTTAGAACTTCTAATTCACTAGCTATATAAGTTTAGGAATAAAAATTATTCTTATAAGAATACAAATTAATGGGTATGAGGAAAAATGAAAGGTGTAACAGAAATAGGCTCCAAACAGCATACTCTGGCCCTCCAGAGCGTAGTTGCTAAAGGAAAGAAGATTTTGGCTGAAACCCGTTAAGACAGCAGGAAATCAGGACACCTTTTCCTAGAAAAGTTCTGTGAGTGTATTATTATTATGTTCATGCCAAAACATTTTCAGTTCTCCATATGACAACACAAATACCAGTCCAAAGATGGGGAAATGAAAAAGGAAATTAAATATATACATTAAGAAATAAATGTCTAACAATTCAGTACCTTGCACTTGTTCAAGTGATGAAACTGAATCAAAAGGATCTTGGCTCTGAAAGTATTTTGTAGTTTTAGGTTGGTTCTCTGCTGCTCTTGTTGTATCACTTTCAAAAGCTGACTGCTTCATAAGACCACTTGACAAATGCTCACTTTTCATATAGTTCTTTTTCCTAGAGATAGAACTTTATTATATACAGGAATAGAACAATTAATTACCTCAGGTTTATCTATAAAATGTCTAATTTTTAAGTTGTATTTATTTGAAAGGTAAAGAGGGAAAAACAAAGCTAGAAAGAGACCTATTTTCCATGTGCTGGCTTGCTCACAACAGCCCACAACAGTAAAGCTGTGCTAGGCCAAGGCCAGGAACTTCATCTGAATCTCCACTGTGCGTGGTAGGAACCCAAGTACATGGGCCATCATCTGCTGCCTCAGATGCAAGGAGCAGAGAGCTAGACGGAAACAACAGTGGGACTTGATCTCAGGCACCCAACAAGCGAAGCAGGTGTCTCAAGCAGCAGATTAATCTACTGTACAACACCCACCCTGATATCTATTAATCAGTTACGTATTTCCTCTCCCAGAAAGAAAAAAAAAATAGAAACAGTGAAAAAAGATTTCTGGGCCCAACCAGAAATTACAGTTGGTGACACTGTTGCAAATTCTGGGAAGCTCAACAATTTAGGTCAAGGGATATATAGTCCACCAAAAGCAAAGAATAAATATATTACTTCTCTGCCTCCCAAGTAGTGAGTTCTTATTTCTTTTCCAAAAAAGGATCCTGAAAACATCAGCTTTCTAAAAACAAGACAAACTCAAAGAATACCTTATACCTCTGAATTAATAAAGTTTGGTAACATTTTACATTATTGCCCCTGCCTTTGATGTTATTACAATCTTTGCAAGTACCTATGCTGTTTTATATAGAGATGAAAATATTTTTCCTTTGGGCAGGCATTTGGCCTAGTGAGAGTGGTTAAGATGCTAGCTAAGATACCTAATCCCACATTGCTATGCTTGAGTATGATCTTCAAATTCCTTGAGTTTGAGCTCAAGCTCCTGATTATAGCTTCCTGTTAGTCCAGTATGTACCTCAAGTCATTAGGTTTCTGCCACCCATGTGGGAAACCCAGAACTGGCTCCTGGCTCCTGGCTCAGGTCCAGCCCAATGCTGGCCACTGCAGGAATATGGGGAGTGAACCAGCAGATAGGAACTCGTATATTCTTTCTCACGCTCTCTCTCTCTAATGCTTCACAAGTTAAAAAAAAAAAAAAAATCAATAAAGAGAGGCCAGCATAGTAGTATACCAGGTTAAGCTGTCACTAGAGATGCAAGCATCCCAAATTAGAATGACGGTTCAAGTCCTGCTGCTCCACTCTAATCCAGCTTCCTGCTAAAGCACCTGAGAAGGCAGTGGAAGACGGTCCAAGTACCTGAGTCCCTGCCACCCATGTGGGAGATTCAGATGAAATTCCTGGCTCCTAGCTTCAGCCTGGTCCAGAGCTGGCGGTTGCAGCCATTTGGGGAGTAAACCAGCAGCTGGATGATCTCTTTGTCACTCAGCCTTTCAAATAATTAAATAATTCTTTGAAAATCAATAAACACATAAAAGAAATACATTTCCTTAAAAGCAATTTTTCTCCCAATCTATTGTAAGCTCTTGGGTTTAGAGTGGCTTACCACAGCCAAGGAGTAGGGATGTGACTGTTGGGAAAAGCCTCCAAATGCAACGAACCCATCATTTCACAAACTGATACCTAGGGCCAGGTTTAACTCCAGCCAGAATGAATGGAAAGAAAACAGCACTTCCACATTTCCCAAACCCCAACTCTCTGAGCCTGAGGCACCTCTCTAACCCTAACTAAGAATACAATTTATTTCCCAGTTTCTGCATCTCTTTATTGGGGCCATAGTACATAAAAAACCACTAGCTTAAACCAAAGGTGCACTCATGGAATTAACACTTAAGCACAGAATTTAAAAGTGAGGGGTAGGCTGTGTGGCACAGGAGGATAAGCCACCACTTAGGGTACTGACATCCCGTATCAGAGCACCAGTTTGAATCCCAGTTACTCCCCATCAGATCCAACTTCCAGCTAATGAATCCTAGGAGTTCAGCAGATGATGGCCCACATGTTGGGCGCCTGAAACCCATATGGGAGACCTGGACTGAATTCCAGGCTCCTGTCTTAACTTGGCCCAGTCCTGCCTGTTGTAGGCATTTGGCGATTAAAACAGTGGACAAAAGATCTCTCTCCACCTACCTCTCTGCGTCTCAAATAGCAAAGGGAAGGGGGGAAGGGGGAGGACTTTACGCTTTAAGTATTATAAGAAAAAACTACAATCCTCTTTAAATTCAACTTCTTACCTACTCATCATCTACATACCCACAACTCACTGATTGGCTAAAATACCACAACCACATTGAACAGCCTCACACTAAATGCATGACATAATCCTCAAGCTGAGCTGTTCGGCATTCCTAATATTTCCTATCCATTCACTTTTTCCACACACTCATATGACTGAGCCTATTTTAACTGAAAAGGGCATCTTGCAGATTCTAACCACTACACATACCTACCACCTACTCAGACTCAGGAGTTGTCCATGGTCCTGCCCATGTAAACTATTCCCCCCACTGCACCCTAGAACCTGTCCTCTCTTGTTTATGCAGACATTGATCCAGCAATTCTTTTCTCTTCCCAGGAGATCGTTCCTATCAGCCTGCAAACATGTGGCAACTTCTCTTCCACAAAAAAGGTAAAACTTCTTTTGGTTCACTTCATTCAAAAGCTATTACAAGCCCATTTCTCTTTGTAGCAAAACTCCAGGAATTGTCTAGTCTGCCTCTAATATTAACTCACTATTCTCTCGTAAACTCTAAGTGTGCTGTTGTGTCTCTCCCTACTTCCATCACACTATTTTAGTCAGGTTATTAATGACCTTTCTATGTTACCCTAAACGGCCTATTTTCAGTCAACACATTATTTGACACAGCTGAATAAATCTCTTCTTTATCATCATTTTGGCCCACCTAATAACTCTTCTTTATCATGTTTATTTTCTAATACCTTTCCCATCTAATATACTATAAAATTGGAATTTTTTAATGCCTTTTGCTTAACAACTGTTTTGTTCACTGTTATCTTCTAAGGATTTGGAAAAATGCTTGGCACATAGCAGGCATTCACTCAAAAATACACACTGAATGATGAGTATACAACAGGCTAACATCTTTAATATACAGAAAGAAAGAGGCAATTCACAACAGAAATATAAGTAATGAATTAGACATTAAATTATGTCCACTCTCATAACAACTCAAATAGGAGAATTTTTTTAATTTTTATTTATGTATTTTTTCTTTTTGAGAGAGAGACACAGACACAGCTCCCATCCATTGGTTCACTCCCCAAATAACCACAATCACCAGGGCTAGGCCCAACTGGCACTGGAAGCCAGGAACTAGATCTAGATTTCCCAAGTTGATGGCAGTAATCCAGTTATGTGAGCCATCAATTGCTATTTACCAGGGTACAAAATAGCAGGAAGCTGGTATCAGGAATGTGCCAAAACTCAAACTCAAGCATTCTAATATGGAATGAGGACATCTCAATCAGTGGCTTAATACTAAGCCAAACCTGACTCTCAGATACAAATTTAAACACAGAACAAGTTAAGAAGTAACCATCATTTACATTTTTGCAGTAACAGACTTCCAGATTTTCTTCCATGCATACATGCATGTGTATAAATTATTTTTACCTCTAAAACCAAGGATTAAAAATAACACCACCAAATGTTGGATAGGGCTCACAGAAATAGACATTCTTCCTTTTTTTTTTTTTTAATTTTTTTTTTTTGACAGGCAGAGTGGACAGTGAGAGAGAAAGAGACAGAGAAAGGTCTTCCTTTTACCGTTGGTTCACCCTCCAATGGCCGCTGCAGCCGGTGCACCGTGCTGATCCGATGGCAGGAGCCAGGTGCTTTTCCTGGTCTCCCATGCGAGTGCATGACCCAAGCACCTGGGCCATCCTCTACTGCACTCCCGGGCCACAGCAGAGAGCTGGACAGGAAGAGGGGCAACTAGGACAGAATCCGGCACCCCGCCCGGGACTAGAACCTGGGGTGCCGGCACCACAGGTGGAGGATTAGCCTAGTGAGCTGCTGCACCAACCAGAAATAGGCATTCTAATACACATCCAGTGGGAGTAAACTGGTACCAGTTTCCTAAATATAATGTGTTAATTTGCAATGATGTTCCAAATGAAATATTTTTAACTCAATAACTTAAATCCTATGAATTTACCTTTTTTTTCCCCTTACTTGCACCCATTTGGGATTCCGGCCATTGCAGGTAGCAGCAGCTTAACTGCTCTGCCACAATGCTGGCCCCTGGGCCATTCTTTTATAGGATCTGGAGGCATGGGGGTGTTGTCTGGGGAAGTGCCTAATCAAATATTCAAATGGTGATGAAATTTGGGACAGAGATTGAGTACCACCCATTTCCATGCCCTATTTGGAAATTACGGAAGTGTCAGATGTATGATGCAAATAGGTATGCTAATTACAGTAATTTTATTCCAGAAACCCAGCTTGTATCCATACTGGATATTCCTAGTTGGCATCAGCTCTTTTTTGTTTTTTTTTTTTTAAGATTTATTTATTTATTTGAAAGTCAGAATTACAGAGAGAGAGAGGGAAAGATCTTCCATTTGCTGGTTCACTCCCTAAATGGCCACAATGGCCAGGACTGGACAAGGCTGAAGCCAGGAGCCAGGAGCTTCATCTGGGTCTCCCACATGTGTGCAGCAAGGGCTCAAGCACTTGGACTATCTTCTGCTGCTCTCCCAGGCAATTAGCAGTGAGCTGAATCTAAAGTGGAGCAGCCAGGACTCAAAGGAGCACCCATACTGGATACCAGCATTACAGACAGCAGCTTAACCTGCACTAAACCCTAAATTTATCTTAACAAAATAATATACTTGTGTGCAAAATCTATGTATAAATGCATATGTATAAACAAGTTATTACATTTGTAATAATAAAACTGCAATAATCTAATTGCCAAGGAATATAGAGGCATTAACATTATGATATTTATATTAATTGTAATTGAAAGAACACAACATACTAATTTTTTAAAAAGATTTATTTATTTACTTGAAAGAGAGGGGAGAGAAAGGTCTTCCATCCACTGGTTCACTCCACAAATGGTTGCAATAGCCAGACCAAAGCCAGGAGCCAAGAGCTTCATAGGGTCTGCCACACGGGTGGCAGGGGCCCAAGTACCTGGGCCTCCCATGCTTGCTGCTTTCTCAGGCACCTTAACAGGGAGCTGGATCAGAAACAGAGCAGCCAGGACTTGAACCAGTCCCCATGCTTGATGCCGGTGCTGCAGGGAGCAGCTTTATCCATTATACCACAATGCCAACCACAAACACATTTTTTTAAAGTTATACTAAGGCCAGCATTGTGGCACAGTGGATAAAGCACCACTTGCAATGCCAGCATCCCTTATGAGTGCGAGTTCTTGTCCCAGCTGCTCCGCAACCAATCCAGCTTCTTGCTAATGGCCTGGGAAAAGCAGTGAAAGATGACCCAAGTGCACTGGATCCTGCCACCCACAGGGGAGACACAGATGAAGATCCTGGCTTCAGTCTGGCTCAGCCCTGGCCATTGTGACCACTTGGGCAGTGAACCAGTAGATGAAAGATCTCTCTCTGTCTCTCCTCCTCTTTCAGTAACTCTTTTCAATAATATACAGTTTCATCATTTTGCATTATACTCAAGTATGTATTCAGCCTAGAGGACTATAGATGAAAATGTAGTCAACGGCTATTCTGTGGTCAGTGCGGTTACAGACCTTTATCATCTTCCTAATGATTTTTTTTTAAAGATTATTTTATGTCTTTGAAAGGCAGAGTTAGAAAGAGAGAGGGAGAGACAGAAAGAGAGAGATCTTCCATCCACGGGTTCACTCCCCAAATGGCTGTTGACAGGGCTGTGTCAGGCCAAAGCCAGGAACTCTATCAGGGTCTCCCATGTAGGTGACCTTCACAGGTCTGTTGGCAGGATGCTAGATCAGAAGCAGAGCATCTAGAACTCTAACAAAATCTCCTATATGGGATCCGGTGTTGCAGACAGTGACTTAACCCTTGCACTACAATGCTGGCCCCTTCCTAATAATTATTCTATTCTCGACTTTTGTCTTTATTAAAAACATTTTTTAAATTCTTTTATTTTTGAGAGACAGAGAGACAGACAGAACTCCCATACATTACTTCCTAAAGGACTGCAACAACTATGGCTAGGACATAATCCATGTCTTTCCCATGACTAATAAGGACCCAATTACTTAAACCATCACTGCTGCCTCTCAGGATCTACATCAGAAAGAAGCTGGTGTCAGGAGCCAGAGACAAGAATTTAACCTAGGCACTTCAATGTGGGACACAGGTGTAAGGCAAAAGGCATGCTCCTTTTTTTTTTCCCCAGAGAGTTTACATTACTTTTAGAACCACATAGGGGTGGATGCCCAGCATTGTTGCGCAGCAGGTTAAGCCACTACCTGGGAGCATGTGGGGAGCAACCCGGACTAGACTAAGTTACTGGAATTAAGACTTAATTCTATGCATCTGCTCTCCCACAATATGGCGCTGGGAGAGGAGAAAACAGCTTCTACGCAGCTGCCTCTTGCCAACTTGAGTGATGACCTCCAGGAGCTGATCCTGCTCCTGATTGGAGGAGAGCAGCGTACTCGGCGTGTGGGCAGCCGAGTTGGGATTGGCGGAAGAGGACTATAAAGGAGGAGAGAGACAACATGCACCAGGAACATCTAAGGGGAACATCTATCTGAAGGAACACCTGTGCAGCCCCCGAGAGAGCCGGCCGGCGGTGTGCCGCTCCCCCGCGGAAGTGGGGAAAGTGGCCAGGGGGAACCGCCCTTCCACGGAGGTGGAAGGGACGGTAGCCAACCCAGGAAGAACCAGCAGCAAACCCGGGGAGGGCCAAGCAGACGAAAGAATAGCGCAGGGTCCTGTGTCGTTCCTCCACGAAGACGGGGAGCGACAGGAGCATACTGATTCCAGTCCCAGCTGCTCCACTTCCAATCCAGCTCCCTGCTAACAGCCTGGGAAAAATAGAAGAGATGGTCCAATGGTCCAAGTACTTGAATCCCTGCCACTCATGTGGGAGACCCAGATGAAACTCTTGGTTCCTGGCTTCAGACTAGGCACAGTGCTGGCCATTGCAGCCATCTGTGGAGTGAACCAGTAGATGAAAGATGGATATCTCTCTCTATTTCTGCGTAACTCTTTCAAATGGATAAATATTTTTAGGAAAAAGAAAGAAAAGGAAAGGAAAGGAAAGGGGAAAGGGAAAGGGAAAGGGAAAAGGAAAAGGAAAGGAAAAGAAAAAGAAACGAAAAGAAAAAGAAACGAAACGAAACAAGGGTGAGCATTGCAGTACAGTGGGTTAGCAATGCTGGCATCCCAGGTGAATGTCAATTGGAGCCCCAATTACTTCCCTTCCAATCCAGCTCCCTGGTAATACGCCTGGGAAACCAGCGGAAACAGCCCAAGCACATGGGCTGCTGCACCCATGTGGAAAACCCAGATAAAGCTCCATGCTCCTGATTTTGGCTTGGCCCAATCACAGCCATTGAGGACATTTCGGAAGCAAACCAGCAGATGGGAAGATTTCTCTCTGTGTGTCTCTCCCTCTCTCTCTATAACTCTTTCAAATCATAAATAAATCTTTAAAAAAAAGATACAGGGGGCTGGCGCTGTGGCGTAGTGAGTAAAGCTGCCGCCTGCAGTGCTGACATCCAATATGGGCACTGGTTCAATTCCCGGCTGCTCCACTTCCAATCTAGCTCCCTGCTTTGGCCTGAGAAAGCAGTAGAAGATGGCCCAAGTGCTTGGGCCCCTACACCTGCGTGGCCAACCTGGAAGAAGCTCCTGGCTCCTGGCTCTTGGCTTCGGATCAGCCCAGTTCTGGCTGTTGTGACCTTCTGGGGAGTGGACCAGCAGATGAAGACCTCTCTTTCTCTCTGCCTCTGCCTCTCTGTAACTCTGCCTTTCAAATAAATAAATATTTTTTAAAAATGTTTTGAAATAACAAAACTATGATTAAAATACATAAAAATGAGGCTAGCATTGTGGTGAGTTAAGCCACTGCCTGAAACAATGGCATCCTATATAGGAGCACTAGTTTGAGTCCCAGCTGCTCTACTTCTGATTCAGCTCCTTTCTAATGCACCTGGGAAAGCAGCATAAGTACATAAGCTCAAGTACTTAGGCCTCTGCCACCCACGTAGGAGGCGTCAGCCTGACCCAGCCCTAACTGTTGCAGCTATTTGGGAAGTGAACCAGTAGATGCAATATCTTTCTCCACCCAATCCAACTCTGCCTTTAAGATAAATAAATCTCTGAGAAAAATACATTTTAAAAAACTCTTAAATATTCTAAGAATTAATCAGAGTCACATCACAATTTCATTTTCCATAAAATGAAGACTGGCTTTTAAAATAGGGCAATATTCCCTGTCTTAAGAATGAACAGGCTGGCGCCGCAGCTCACTAGGCTAATCCTCCGCCTGCAGTGCCGGCACACCGGGTTCTAGTCCCGGTCAGGGCACCGGATTCTGTCCCGGTTGCCCCTCTTCCAGGCCAGTTCTCTGCTGTGGCCAGGGAGTGCAGTGGAGGATGGCCCAAGTCCTTGGGCCCTGCACCCCATGAGAGACCAGGAGAAGCACCTGGCTCCTGGCTTCGTATCAGCGCGATGCGCCAGCTGCAGCACACCAGCCGTAGCAGCCATTGGAGGGTGAACCAACGGTAAAGGAAGACCTTTCTCTCTGTCACTTTCTCTCTCACTGTCCACTCTGCCTGTCAAAAAAAAAAAAAAAAAAAAAAAAGAATGAACATGAGGGCCAGCGTTGTGGCGTCATCGGTTGAGCCTCCAGCTGCAGCGCTGGGATCCTATATGGGCACTGGTTCATGTCTCGGCTGCTGCACTTCTGATTCAGCTCCCTGCTGATGGCCTGGGAAAGCATCGGAGAACACCACAAGTGCTTGGGCCCCTGCTGCCACATGAGGAACCCAGAGGAAGCTCGAGCTCTGGCCACTGCGGCCATGTGAACTAGAAGACTGCAGATCTCTCTCTCTCTCTCTCTGTTTCTCTCCCTATCTCTCTGTAACGCTGCCTCTCAAATAAATATTTTCAAAAAATGAACGTGAGGGTATCAAAAAGTTATCAGCTCTCTCTTGTTTATTATAGCACTATTACAATAGCCTCAATGTGGAATCAACCAAGGTGTCCATTGACAAATGAATGTTCTATACACAATAGAACATTATTTAGCCATTAAAAAAAGAGTGAGGGGCAGGAATTGGGCACAGCACTTAAGACTTCACTTAGGATGCCTGTATTCTTTATTGGAGTGCCTGAGTTTGAGTCTCAGCTCTGCCCCAATTCCAGCTTCTTGCTAATGCATACTCAGATAGGCAGCGGATGACAACTCAAGTACGTGGATTGCTGACACCCATGTGGGAGACTCAGCTTGAGTCCTAGACTTCTGGCTTAAGCCTGGGCCAGTCCCAGCTCTTGTAGACAACTGGGTAGAAAAGCAGAGGATGTAAGATTCATATATTCTCTCTCTCTCTGCCCCCGCTCCACTCTCCCCTTCCCTCTACCTCCCCTGCCTCTCTACCTCTCAAATAAATAAATAAAAAACTTTAAAATATATATATATATACACACATATATATATATAAATAAAATACGGCAATAGGGGTCAGCACTGTGGCACAGCAGGTTAAAGTTCCAGTCTACAGCGCTGGCATCCCATATGGGCAATGGTTCTAGTCCCGGCTGTTCCACTTCCAATCCAGCTCTCTGTTAATGCACCTGGGAAAGCAGCGGAAGATGATCTAAGTCCTTGGGCCCCTGCATCTGCATGGGAGACCCAGAAGAAGCTCGTGGCTTCCAATCAGCTCATCTCAGGCCATTGTGGCCATTTGGAAAGTGAACCAGCAGATGGAAGACCTCTCCCTCTGTCTCTCTCTGTAACTCTTTCAAATAAATAAAATAAATATATTTTTTTAATTTTTTAAAAAGCTCAATAAATAAAAAGATATACTTACTCTTCATCTGGGAAGCTAAGATGTAACCTCTCTCTCAGTTCAATATCACTCTGGCAACTGGGAGATGATTCAGTTGGAACTGAATACCCCCTTTCGATTAAATAAGATGCCTGGACATCAGGATACCTAAAAAAATTTTAATTATTGAGAATTAAATTGCATACATTTAAGATTCACCAAGACATACAGCTATAAACTGTAGAAACAACCACCAGAGGGTAAAGACAATGGAGCTCACTTCTCAACATCACCATCCTCAGTGCAAAGCTCAGACCTGTGACTAGCAGTGAGGTGTTCATCCATGTTCAGCAACACAGAAATCTTAAGGGTAAAGACCTTTCAGGGGCCAGTGCTGTGGCACAGTGGATTAATGTCCTGGCCTGAAGTGCCAGCAACCCATATGGATGCCAGTTCGAGACCCAGCTGTTCCACTTCCGATCCAGCTCTCTGCTATGGCCTGGGAAAGCAATAGAAGATGGCCCAAGTCCTTGGGCCCCTGCACCCGCGTGGGAGACCCAGAGGAAGCTCCTGGCTCCTGGCTTCAGATCAGCATGGATCCGGCTGTTGTGGCCAATTGGGGAGCGAACCATCAGATGGAAGACCTCTCTCTCTCTGTCTCTCCTCTCTCTGCTGTGTAACTCCTGACTTTGAAATAAATAAATAAAATCTTGAAACAAAACAAAACAAAACAAAACAAAACAAAAGCTGGTATAAGTTGCCTAGAACAAGGAACTTAACTTTAGGAAATGAAAGTTATTATCAGAGTAAAACCAAGCTACTCCTGAAGAATATGACAGACTGAAGGCTGGAAGAAACAGGTAGCCATGCAAGTCCAGTAAAGAGTAAACTCAGGGCCGGCGCCGTGGCTCAATAGGCTAATCCTCCACCTTACGGCGCCGGCACACCGGGTTCTAGTCCCGGTTGGGGCGCCGGATTCTGTCCCGGTTGCCCCTCTTCCAGGCCAGCTCTCTGCTATGGCCAGGGAGTGCAGTGGAGGATGGCCCAGGTGCTTGGGCCCTGCACCCCATGGGAGACCAGGAAAAGCACCTGGATCCTGGCTCCTGCCATCGGATCACCGCGGTGCGCCGGCTGCAGCGGCGGCCATTGGAGGGTGAACCAACGGCAAAGGAAGACCTTTCTCTCTCTGTCTCTCTCTCTCACTGTCCACTCTGCCTGTCAAAAATAATAAAAAAAAAAAAAAAAAAAAAAAAAAAAAAAAGAGTAAACTCAGGAGTTAGCAACAGAGATCATGCTCTAAACATACCAAATGAACCCAAACCCTCACCACAGTTGACTACATTTAGGATGGGTGTCTAACCCAAGCTGGACCAATAACTCAAGATTTTAAGAGTCAGGTTTGTTTTTTAAGAATAATGTATTTATTTGAGAACTGGAGATACAGATAGAGAGAGAGACAGAGACAGAGGGAAGGAGGGAGAGGGAGAGGGAGAGGGAGAGGGAGAGGGAGAGGGAGAGGGAGAGGGAGAGGGAGAGGGAGAGGGAGAGGGAGAGGGAGAGGGAGAGATGTTCCATCTACTGGTTCACTCCCCATGTGGCCACAATGGCGAGGGTTGAACCAGGCTGAAGTCAGGAGCTTCATCCAGCTCTCCCACATAGGTGGCAGGGGTCCAAGCACTTGGGCCATCCTCTGCTGGTTTTCCCAGACCATCAGCAGGGAGCTAGATCAAAGAGCAGCAGCCAGGACACATACCGGCACTCATATAAGGTAGCAGCCTTCCCCACTGCACCACAACACTGGACCCCAAGAGACAGTTCTTTAGTCTCCTTGTATAACCAGAAATGTACATTCAAAGTTATCTTTTCAGAGTCTGTGTTGCCACACAGTGCACTATGGAACAGAAAAGCAGATAAAACAAGCATATTGAAAGAGTGTGTGGAGTTCAATTATAAGTAATTAATTCAAACCCTAAATTAACTTAGATTAAATACATTTGGAATTAAGACTTAATGTATAATATATTAAGATTAAATGATATAAAATATCGGGCAACATATTAAAGTCAAGCTAAATTCTGGTCTTAGGAGCTTTTAGGACTTGTTACGAGAACCGCTGTTCTCCATGACAGGCCTTATTTTAAGCCAGAAAAGATAGGCCTAAGGGTACGGGAGTGAAATTATCCCTGAAATTTAGATTTTTCCGCCTTCCTGTGTGATGCCTAGCCCCTAAGTTGCTCAAATGCACCAATAAAATGCATAAATTTAGGTAATTGCCATATAAGGAATAAGGAACTCGCCTGCGTGTGTAGTGACGTATGTACTTTTACTCGAGTGCATAAAATGCTGGGAGGGGAAGCGACGGGGCTTCTCGCCTCAGCACTGCACTGCATCATATGTGCGGTAAGAGCCCCAGCTAGCTGGAAATAAAATCCTCTTGCTATTGCATCCAGCCTGCCTTTTGTGAACTGTTTTGGGAAGGGTCTCATACCGGACACAACAAGCGGAGTGAGAAGACAGAAACCCAGGTCCTCATGCTTCCCAGATCCCAACTCCAATCCCTTCCTGTGACGCAGCTCCACAATCCTGCCCTTGATTTTCCTAAGATATTGCTGTACCTCATGATTAATTTTCCTCTTGAACTTTACCAGCACAAACTGGTATATTTCTAACCACTAGTAAATCTGAACTAATACAATTCCAAAACACCACAGACAGAAAAAACAATTAGTAGACCAAAAAAAGGTCACTGGTGTTCAAATTCCAAACTCAGCCAACACATCCATTGATAAGACAATGGAATGAGAAAGAATAAGCTCCACCTTTTTCTATAATCATTTTTATACATTTGGCCATCTTCCTCTCAGATAATAGATGAAGCTTATTTGACTAAGAAACTTTACAGTCTGTATAGGTTTTACTTTTTTAACCTGAAAAGATTCTGTTCAAACAAATCTTACCTGTTATCAGTGCTGGGTCTATTTCTAGCAAGTGTGGAAACAGCAACGGGCAAGCCAAGATTTGAAGAAAGTGTGACATTTTCCAAAATTCCACTATTACCAAGCAATGAGTTGGTTAAAAAACTTGGAAATGACTCTTCTGCTATGCCTCGAAAATCTTCCATCTCACTGTAACGAAAGTATATTGACAAATTAAACACTGCTATAAAAGTTTTCCAAACGATTAAGTTACAAGTCTTACAGTCTTAGAAAACTGATAATCTTGAGAAAAAAAATAATCTTAGAATATCACTAAGAGGGGATACAACTGGCATTAGATAAAGTAATTCTCATAATACTTTGCTACTTTACAGCTGAGAATATAAACATCAAACATTAAACTAAAATTAACATAATAATGAAATACCATAAAATGTAACTTATCCTTGGCTTGGTATACCAAGGAATATCAATTACCACTTTACCCAGTAAAGAAAGAAAAAGGCAAACTCCTGGGAGGATATCCAGATCATTTCAGGGTGTACTGAAATATTTGACAGTTACATACTCTTCCAGCACAGGAGAGAAAAAAGTAGAACTAGCAAAATCTAGCCCCTAATCTCAGAGATTATTAGGACAAGTACATAGTTTTAAAAGTGAGTCCACTCAAAGAAAAATTCCAGTTCAATGAAGTTTAGTTGGCACACAGACATGGCAAGAATGGAAAAAGTCATGGCTGGCACTGTGGTACAGTAGGTTAATTTCTCTACCTATGGTGCCAGCATCCTATATGGGCACTGGTTCTAGTCCCGGCTGCTCTTCTTCTATCCAGCTTTCTGCTATGGTCTGGGAAGGCAGTAGAGGATGACCCAGGTGCTTGGGCCCCTGCACCCACATGGGAGACCCAGTGGAGGCTCCTGGCTTCCTGGCTTCGGATCAGCACAGCTCCAGCCATTGTGGCCATTTGGGGAGTGAACCAGTGGAAGGAAGACCTTTTCTCTCTCTCTGCCTCTCACTGTCTAATTCTACCTTTCAAATAAATAAATAAAATCTTAAAAAATAAAATAACACTTCAGAGTTAAAAAAAAAAAAAATGGAAAAAGTGGCACACAAACCAAAAAAAGAATCTATAAGCCCACACGGCCTCTCAGTTTAACCTGACCTACAACACAATACTAAGAGATGCCACTACTCAGTCTCAAAAAACTTTCAGAATGCCTATCATATAAGCACTGTGTAGAATTCAGTGAAGAAAATAATGAGAGGGATGACAAAGAGAGAAGTAAATTAAGTCAGAAAAAGCTCTAAAAGTGAAAAGATATGGGCACTGTATCTTAAAGAATGAGCAAAACTTTTACAGGCAGAGTATGTATGATGGCATTTTTAGGATGAAAAATAAACATGAGCAAAGGGGGAAGAAGATTCAAATTCACTACCTTTCTACTATCTTAACTCACTGGATCCAAAGAAAGCCATATATTATAGGTATTATTTCATTTACAAATGTAACACGAGGGCTAGCATTGTAGCATGGTAGCTTGAGCCACTGCAGCCACAGCTTACTATAGGCACTGGGAAAGCAGCAGAGGACAACCCAAGTAATTGGGCCGCTGTATCCACAAAGGAGACCTGGAGGAAGCTCCTGGTTCCTGACTTTGGCCTTGCCAGACGTGGCCATTGCAGCTATGCAGGGAGTGAACCAGTGGATGGAAGATCTCTCTCCCTCTCTCTTTAACTCTGCATTTTAAATAAATAAACACATCTATAAAAACAAATATAGGCCGGCGCCATGGCTCACTAGACTAATCCTCCGCCTTGCGGCACCGGCACACCGGGTTCTAGTCCCGGTCGAGGCGCCGGATTCTGTCCCGGTTGCCCCTCTTCCAGGCCAGCTCTCTGCTGTGGCCCGGGAAGGCAGTGGAGGATGGCCCAGGTGCTTGGGCCCTGCACCCCATGGGAGACCAGGAGAAGCACCTGGCTCCTGCCATCAGATCAGCGCGGTGTGCCGGCCGCAGCGCGCCAGCCGCGGCGGCCATTGGAGGGTGAACCAACAGCAAAGGAAGACCTTCTCTCTCTCTCTCACTGTCCACTCTGCCTGTCAAAAAAAAAAAAAAATATATATATATATATAAACACAAACTCAAGAGACTAAATTAGCTAAGTCTCCCTAAGATTATACAATTAAGTTCAAACCCAAGTGTGACCCAAAAATCCACTCTAAGTGCTAAGTGGCAGCAGCAAATACTACAGATTTGGCAATTGTGGGGAGCAGGGTCCGTCTCCCACAACATGGCGGGGCACCCGGGAGACAAATAAGTACTGAGACTGTGGACTAAAACTAACTCTATGCCTCTGATCTCCCACCATATGGCGCTGAGAGAGAGTAAACAAATCTTACACACAGCTGCTTCGTTAATTAGCTGATTCCTGACCCAACCCCTGTTTGGAAGAAAGCAGCGTGCTCAGCACATGGGCAGCAGAGCACGGATTGGTGGGAGAGGACTATAAAAGAGGGAGAGAGACAACATGTGGGGGCCCCCTGAGAGAGTCGGTCAGAGAGCTCGTTGGTGCTGCTCCTCCGCGGAGGCGGGGAAGCAGCAGCAAATCCGGGAAGGAGCAGGGAAAGAAAACAGCGTCCGGTGTCGTTCCTCCGCGAGTAGGGAAGCGACAGCAATGATGTACAAAATAACATGGCAAATGAAACTACAGTAATAGACTGGAGCCAGATGTGAAAAGCCTTCCTTAGAGTATTGGTAAATACATCTAAAACTTAAATGTTAATTCCACTTCTCTCTCAACCTCAGGAAAAGTCTGCCCTTTAGTCATACCACCAGGGAAAATGACAACCCCAGTTCCTAGTAGCTTTGGCCAGGGTGGGGAACCATTTTTCTGCCAAGGGCCATTTGGATATTAAGATCATTCACAGCCGGCACCGTGGCTCACTTGGTTAATCCTCTGCATGTGGCACCGGCATCCCATATGGGCGCCAGGTTCTAGTCACAGTTGCTCCTCTTCCAGTCCAGCTCTCTGCTGTGGCCCAGGAGGGCAGTGGAGGATGGCCCAAGTGCTTGGACCCCTGCACCCATATAGGAGACCAGGAAGAAGCACCTGGCTCCTGGCTTCAGATGGGCACAGCGCCAGCCATAGCAGCCATTTGGGGGGTGAACCAATGGAAGGAAGACCTTTCTCTCTGTCTTTCTCACGGTCTATAACTCTGTCAAATAAAAAAAAAATTATTCACAAGCTACACAAAATTATCCACTTAAAAATTAGCCTGCAGGGGCTGGCACTGTGGCATAGAAGGTTAAGCTTGTCGCTCCCCGTCTTTGTGGAGGAACGACACAGGACCCTGCGCTGTTCTTTCGTCTGCTCGGCCCTCCCCGGGTTTGCTGCTGGTTCTTCCCGGGTTGGCTACCGTCCCTTCCACCTCCGTGGAAGGGCGGTTCCCCCTAGCCACTTTCCCCACTTCCGCGGGGGAGCAGCACACCGCCGGCCGGCTCTCTCGGGGGCTGCACAGGTGTTCCCTCAGATGTTCCTGGTGCATGTTGTCTCTCTCCTCCTTTATAGTCCTCTTCCACCAATCCCAACTCTGCTACCCACACGCCGAGTACGCTGCTCTCCTCCTATCAGGAGCAGCTCCTGCAGCTTGTCAAGTTGGTGAGAGGCAGTTGTGTAGAAGCTGTTTCCTCCTCTCCCAGCGCCATATTGTGGGAGAGCAGATGCATAGAATAAGTCTTAATTCCAGTAACTTAGTCTAGTCCGAGTTGCTCCCCACAAAGCTACCACCTGCAGTTCTGGCATCCCAGATAGGTGCTGGTTGGAGTCCCGGCTGCTCCTTTTCCAATCCAGCTCCCTGCTAATAAGCCTGGGAAAACGGTGGAAGATGGCCCAAATCTTTGGACCCCTGCACCCACATGAGAGACCTGGATGAAGCTACTGGCTCCTAGCTTCAGCTTGGCCCAGTGCTGGCCATTGTGGCCATTTAGGAAGTGAACAAGCAGACAGCAGATCTCTCTATATATAGAGATATAGAGATAGAGATAGAGATAGAGATAGAGATAGAGATAGAGATAGAGATATATAGATATCTGCCTTTCAAAAAAATAAATCTTCAAAAAAAAACTAACTTGCTGCGCCAGCGCTGTGGTGTAGTAGGCTAAGACTCTGCCTGAGGCACCGGCATCCCATATGGGTGCAGGTTCGTGTTCTGGCTACTCCACTTCTGATCCAGCTCTCTGCCAATGTATATGGAAAAGCAGTAGAAGATGGCCCAAGTGCTTGGGCTCCTGCACCCACATGGGAGACCCAGAAGAAGCTCCTGGCTCCTGGCTTCAGATAGGCCCAGCTCCGGCCGTGCGGCCATCTGGGGAGTGAACCAACGGGTGGAAGACCTTTCTGTCTCTCGGTCTCTCTGTATCTCTACCTCTCAAATAAATAAATTAATCTTTGAAAAAAGAAATTAACTTGCTATATAGATTTACTGAATTTCAAGTCCTGCCTGTAGTTGCCTTGTCAGGGCCAGAGCAAAATGTTTTCATGGACCTTATACAGCCTGCAGGCTGGATGTTCCCCACACCCAGCTTAGGCCAAAACCCTTAGTCATTAGTCATTGCTGAGTTCTCTCACAGCCATAAGCAAAACCTTAGCAAATCCTGACACTGACAATGCAGCTAGCACATTGTTATTCCTCGTGACTGCCACTGTAGTCACTTGGTCAAGCCAACACTACCTCCTGCCTGGATACCGACTATCTCCACACCTTTACTCTTCCTCCTTATCTCTACACTAAAGTTATCCCTGAAAAATGAGTCAAATACCGTCACTTCTTAGCTCAAATCCTCCCTCCACTGGTTCCTACCTCATTCAGAATAATCTGCAGTGCTTATGCCAACAAGCACATAATTTCTGACCTTGTCTCCTACTACTCTTCTCTATCCCAGCCACCCTGAACTCCCTGTTGTCCTGAAGTACATGGAACAGTCTCTACCCCAGGGCCTTTGCCCTTGCTCTGAAATCAGCAGAGTCCCTGATGCTCCAGGTATCCAGTTATCTTGCACTTACATTTCTTTAGATCTTTGTGCAAATGTTCACTACAGAGCTGGGCATGGCATTCCCAACCTCCTTATCCTACTTTCTTGTTTCTTTAGTACTGACTGCCACCTGGCAGCCTACATAATTCAGCTTTCTAAAGATTTATTTATTCAAAAGGCAGAGTTAAAGAGAGAGAAGGAGAGACAGAGATTTCCCATCCACTGGTTCAGTTCCCAAAGGGCCACAAGAGCCAGAGAAGGGCCATGCTAAATCCAGGAGCCTGGAACTCCATCTGGGTCTCCCTCACTGGTGGAAGTGGCCCAAGCACTGGCATATTAGCAGGGAGCTGGATCAGAAGTGGGGCAGCTGGGACTTGAACCAGAACTCACATGGAATGCCAGTATCTCAGGCCGTGGCCTAACCTACTGCGCCACAATGTTGGCCCCTATCATGCTTCTCTTCATCTGTTTTTTCCCCCCGACATTAGAATGTCAGCTCCATGAGGGCAGGAACTCCACCAAGCTAGTTTGCCACTGCATTCCTGTGCGATGCTTGCAGAGTACAGATCCTCAACACATTTGGTGCATGCATGAATGAATGCTTTCACACTAGTCAATACACAGCAAATTCATCACCCACTAACATATGAGCACCCTCCTCTCCTACCAATCCTCAGCAATTTCCTCTTTGGTATTTCTAGCTATTCTCTCTTGATTACCATGAACATGTTCAAAGCTTCCCCCTATCAGGAGGGGAGCTGAGGAACAACCTGCCCTGACCTTTCATTTGCACCTCCTTGCCTTCCTTTCTCAGCCAAGTATCCAAGGAGAACACTCTGGAGTTAACTACTGCCACATCATGTGACATTCTCTTCCTGCATTAGAGGTTACCCAAGATTCTGACCTCAGAGACTTTATACTATGCAATTTACATTTAAATCTCAAATGCCTTCAGAGGTAAATATGAAGAGCCTTCAAAAATTTCATGGAAAATTAAATTAAAAGGTAAGTTTGGGATCGGCACTGTGGCACAGCGGGTAAAGCCACGACCTGCAGTGCCAGCATCCCATATGGGTGCCAGTTCAAGTTCCGGCTGCTCCACTTCCGATCCAGCTCTCTGCTGTGGCCTGGGAAAGCAGCAGAAGATGGCCCAAGTCCTCGGGCCCCTGCGTTTGCATGGAACATACAGAAGAAACTCCTGGCTCCTGGCTTCAGATTGGTACAGCTCCAGCTGTTGCAGCCAACTGGGGAGTGAACCAGCGGATGGAAGACCTCTCTCCCTCTCTGCCTCTCTTTCTCTCTCTGTGTAACTCTTTCAAATAAATATACCTTTAAAAAAAAAAAAAAAGATAAGTTTATTTTGGTGAAAACAATTTTGAAATTCATATTTATGAGTACTGTTGGAAAACAGGACTAGAAGGACTAATGTCAGCTGGAAATAAATTTGAAAAAAAAAACAGTGCTGCCAAACAAAACATGGTAAAGTCCATTCCAGAAGGCAAAACAAATCTGTGTCTCTGCTACATCTCCCTGTGTCTACTATTACAAGCTGAGCTCAGAGAAAAGCATCTGGACCAAATCTCCATTCTTCTATTCTTGCCACCCTATGATTAATCCTCCACACAGCAATGAAAATGCAAATCAGGTTATTACATCCCAGTTGAAAATGTTGTTTCAGCTCATCTCTCATCCATTGGTTCACTCCCCAAGTGCCAAAACAAATGGAGCTGGGCCAAAGCAACCCAAGAGCCTGGAACTCAATCCAGACCTCCCATATAGGTAGAAAGGACCCAACTAACTGAGCCGTTACCTGCTGCCTCCCAGAGTGTGCACTGGTAGGAAGCTGGACTCGGGAGCAGAGATGAAACTCAAACCCAGGCACTCAGATATGGGATGCGGGCATCTCGGGCGGCATCCTAACCACTGCAGCAAATGCCTGCCCTATGTGTTAAATGTTTTACATACAATTTTTCAAATCCCTGAGTCAAATCTGTAAGGTAGCCACTGTCCCTATTCTGAAGAAAACTGAGGCTGAACAAGAAAATGAAGAGATTTTTTCCAGGGGCCAGCCCTTGGCACTGCAGGTTAAGTCGCCAACTGCAGCACTAGCATCCCATATGGGTGACAACTGGAGTCCTGGCTGCTCCACTTCCAGTCCAGCTCTCTGCTAATGTACCTGGGAATCTTGGCCCTTGCATCATGATCCGGTAGTTCTTGGTCAAGGCTCAACCTGCCAGCCGTTTGAGCAATCGATGGACACGATGCAATTCTCTCCCCCCCTCCCTCCTCTGGTATTCGAGCTGTCCGTCAGCCGACTCCACCGCCTTTCATCTCTATCCTGAATCCGACTCACTTAGCGCAGTCAGTCACATCAAACCAATGTGGTTCCTCTCTGGAACCCCCCTCACGCGCTCTGTTGGAGGTCCTTGAGTCTAATAAATACTTTGAAATCTCAAAAAAATTAAATTAAAATAATATAAAAAAACAGATTGTTACTTCCTCTCCACTCACTCTTCCTGTTATCTTTAGTCTTGACAGTCATCCCTACTCCCTGTCTGCAGAAGCTAGACTACCAGGACCTCCTGATCCCACTCCTGCTCTCTTAGCAAACTTTAGTGCTTCCACCTTCAAACACATAGCTGGAGCTGTGACCCACATCACTTTTTTTTTTTTTTTTTTTTGACAGGCAGAAGTGGACAGTGAGAGAGAGAGGACCAGAGAGAAAGGTCTTCCTTTGCCATTGGTTCACCCTCCAATGGCCACCGCGGCAGGCGCGCTGCGGCTGGCGCACCGCGCTGATCCAATGGCAGGAGCCAGGTACTTCTCCTGGTCTCCCATGGGGTGCAGGGCCCAAGCACCTGGGCCATCCTCCACTGCACTCCCGGGCCACAGCAGAGAGCTGGCCTGGAAGAGGGGCAACCGGGACAGAATCTGGCACCCCGACCGGGACTAGAACCCGGTGTGCCGGCGCCGCTAGGTGGAGGATTAGCCTAGTGAGCCGCGGCGCCAGCTACCCACATCACATTTTAATCTCAACTCTTCACTAGCCTCCCTGAGCCTAGCCTTTAATTACCAAGTTATTCATTCATTCACAGACACACAGACCACCTTAAATATACACCAAACTTCAACAATTATCTCTATTTTAAAGGGGTTAACTCCAAAAAAAAACTCAGATATTTTGCACCAATCATTTATACAACAGTCACTATCAAATGCAAATCATATAGGACACCAGGAATGTAAAAAAGTAATTAAGGCAGTTCCTCTTAGGAAGCTAACAGTAACTATTAATCACCAGAGTCCTTCGATAGAGCGTGACTCTGTGTGAGGGTGACACAATCCACGGGAAGCTTCCTCAAGATGTAACCTAGCACCTCCTCTCCCTTGCTTCCACACAGGATCACACTTGTTCTCACCAGCTCACGGGAAAGCTCCCTAGCTCCCCTCCGCATCACATTACCTACTCCTCCTCTATCAGCTGGAGAAATGCAATGTGACCCATTTCTCCACTAGATAACTAAGGAGTCATCTGCCATTTCTCCTGCTATTTCCTTGAAGCAGCAACCTTAAATTTCACTTACGAGTTTCCTATTACTATCTTAATTACAATTCTGTGCATATAAAAGATTATTAGATGCAGGTCCTAGTTTAAGTCTATGTGCACAATTAAACACATTCAAAAGTAAAAGTCAGCAACCCAAAACCTAGTCAAACTTCCCCAAAACTCATTAGATACTGTATATTTTAGAGTTAGGCATTTAGTATATTACTTTTAAAAGCTTACCTTAAACGTTGCCCACAGAAGTGATATTTGGAGAAAAAGTTGATCTTGGAGCAGTACAAACACTAGTTGAATGACCTCAAAATGGTAACCACCAATGGAATTATTGTTATATAAACAGCTGTTCTCCAAACGACTGCATCAAAAGTGGCCTCATATTTCACTAAACAACATCTGAAATGAAGAACAAAGCAAAAGTGGATTGACAATAAACATGACCCCATTTCACGTTCTGTTCACAATGAAATCACAAGAAAGGAATGCAGGTAAGATATTAGCAAGATATGTGAACTCAGCCCAGCAGAAAGCAAACCAGGAGGAATGGTGTCATCGGCAGAGCCCGCAGCATCAAGTTAACAATGTAACTTCCTGGGTCAGAGTTTCAAACAAAAAGAAAAATAGAACTGTCCAACAAAGGCACAAAAAGCAAACACCACGCGTCAACACAGAACTTTGCAAGGAAAAACTCCAGAGCAAAACACGGACAGCGCCCTTCGCTCAAGAGTTATAAGTCACCGAGTGGAAGGAGAGGAAACAAGGATGTGATCTCCCCCAAAGTCTAAACCGTCTGGCCCGGCAAAAGCCTTGGACACACAGGCACATAATTAACCTCAGCGATCCGAATCAACTCAGAGGCCAGGCTGGGTGGGTGTGGAGGAGCTGACCCAGCGCGGCGGCCCGCCCCACAGCCCCCAGCCCGAGGCCTGCGCCCCCAACCCAGCCCAACCGTCACGGTCCTCCCCGCCCGGCCGCAGAAATGCTGGCCAAAAGTAGTCACGTGCCTGCTGCCCAAGAGTACACCAAGCAAGCAGCGCCCTTACTCACCGAGCCCCCAACCACGGCCGCGGGAGCCGAGAAGCGGGAAAGCCCGCAGAGTAAACGGGAGCCTCGGTCGTGCTACAAGTGCGCATGCGCGAGCGCCCACACCCTCAGCCTCCCGATCCTGCCGTACCGCGCGTTCCTCGGGTTTACGTCGGTTCGCGGCACGAGGCGAGGGGCGGGAACTCGAAGCCAGCTTTGGATTGGACAGCGCGAAGGCACCAAGAGGGCAGGAGCCCGGTGATTGGTTTGGACGTTGCGTCTCTGGATTTGAAGCGAGAAAACCGCGGCCTCACGGACCGAGAGGAAGAGCTTTGCATTGCTCGGCAGCTGAGCTCAAGGTCCCTTTTTAAGCCGCTTCGCAAAACGTGAAAATAACGCTTGCCTTCTTAAGCTTGAGACTCTCAAAGCACCGTAAGTCGCCGGATACACGGGAAATGCTCTCGTGCAACAACCACCTGACTTGTTTGTACCGTAGGTGAGCAGATGCAGACCTTCCCTACGACCGAGCGGTAGACGCTGAAAAGGGCCATGTTGGCTTTGAATCATTCCTCGGGATCCTAGTTTCGTGGTCCTGGTCGGGAAAGTGAGATGAGTCATCATGTTTCCCCAGTTAGCTTCCTCCCTCCTCTCATTCTCCGTACGCAACCACCCTCAGCGCCACCTGCATTGGCACCAGCCTTTTACAACTTTACAGAGGGCAGAGATAATTCAGTTTCACAGCTTTCACTCAGAATTTACCCTAGAAATTTTTCCTGTACAGTCGTCCTGTATTTCAAAATCTCTTCCGTGTAGCCTCAATGGCAGTCCCTCTTTCCCAAAGTTCATTCATTCCCAGTTACTCAGTATTTAAGATAGCGGGGTACTTGAGTTTAACAGAGTTGAATTTAACAGTATTATTGAATTTTAACCTAGTGGAGAAGTCCTTTTCTTTAGTCACTCTTCTGACTTCTCCAAGTTGTTCAGCTATTGTTCTGGGTATTCTTTCCACTGATTCTTTTCCTTTTGCCTATAAAAGTGCTGTCACGTCTTCATCCATCCATCCATCCATACACATACATACATACACACACACCACCAGTCTTCCTTGATTGTCCTTCCTAAAATTGCCTCCAGTTCTTCATTTTTACTCCTTTTTGTTCACTCAACATGATCTAGCTTGGTCCTGGGCATTACTTAACATACTTCATCAGGAATGACTTAACTGTCAAAGTTAGTAATGTTTTGCAGTTCTCTCTCTTGAGAGCCTCTAAACTTAGTATTTGCCCCTTTTCTACCAAGTGCATTCTAATTTTAAAATATCTAGAAAATAATCTAATGTTGATTAGATGTTAGTTTACAAATGGACTACATAAATGTTATGCTTGCTCATGCCCTAAAGAGAGGAAACCTCACCAGCTATCTTAAATAAAGTATATTCCATTTTTTAAAGGAACAGATTCACAAATTTTAAAATATATTTTATTTAAATAACCTACTTGGATAATAATCACTAATGATTGAAACAGTAATTCCAAGTAGTGAAAGGTAATTTACTTAGAAGGAAACAAAGAAAAGACCAAAAAGTCCATTTAATGTTTTGCTGCTTCATACACAGGAATGATTTATTTTACATACTAGTCAGTTGCAACATGAGCCTGTAAAATTAAAAACATTTCTTATGTCTCAAAGGCCAAGTAGATGTTATAATGATATACTTTCACATTAACCAGTACAATAACGCATGAAAAACTTTTAAGACTACTATGGTAACAGTTCAAAATAAAATTTACAAAACAGGCACTTTGAAGTCAGCTACTGTGTGTAACTCAGTTAATGTTACTTGTACATATCATCAAGGTTAGCAACCAGCGAGGCAAATTGGCCTTTAATGCAGACGCACAAACAGGTTTAGGTTCCAAATGCTGTGTTCTGCTTCTAATACATGCAAGACAGACTCTAAATTAGAAAACTCTTCTAAAAGAAAATGAAGAAAAACAAAAATTGGCCAGGAATGAAAGCATTTACAAGCATCTGAATAAGGCCTTTTAATGTTAAATCAGTGTTTTAAACCCCTTCATTCTCAGGTAAGGGATTAAGATATCGTCTGCGAGGGTGAGGATACTGGAGGTTGGCAGTGTCAGCATCCCAAGAGTGCTCTACCAGAGGAGGAGGAGGAGGAGGAGGAAGGAGCTGGGCATAACTGGACCATCTCGATCCAGCCTGTGGGGAATCCACAGGGGGAAAGAAATACCTGAAACAATGAAGACAGGAACAAAACACCAAAACAAAACAAAAACAACAGGGAAAAAAAAGAAAAAAGAAACACAAGAAAAAGAGAAAAGTAGTAAATACAAAGAGAACCAAGGAGAAAACACATGCTGGAAAAAAAAAAGCTTTAGTATATTCACGCCAAACTAACAGAACATAATAGCACAAATCAAGACCCTGCCTCAAATCAAGATTGCTTAGGCAAGTGTAGAAAAGTTGAAAGAAATACAATCTGTTAAAATGTCAAAAAAATTATCAGTATGAATGTTACAAAGAAAGACATTAATCTGATAAATTTAAAACGTTTTGTAATCTCTCAGAAACATATTGGATGCTATTCTGTAAATTTACAAATCCAATGATCTTTTTATATTTTGAGCAATGCTCCATCTGTAGCAGCAGCTGGCACTTTTTTTTTTTTTTAAGTGCATACATGATACTGAGAACCAACTGAAATACACTTCTACATAGCATGGCTAGCTCTCCCAACACACTCCGAAGAAATACAATCATCGAACATATTTATTCCTCAATCAAAACCTTAGAATTGCTACAGTTTTGATAAGTAAAAGGGTTCAAAGAATTATTACGCCCTATTATTCTTTTACTATTTTAGAACTTACCCGTAATGAATTTTAGCAAACGTAAGAATTTATAGCTTTGTCATCAAGGTCAGAGCTGAGGATATGAACTAATTGAAACAGCAAACTAAATTAAGAAAATCCTGGCCGGCGCCGCAGCTCACTATGCTAATCCTCTGCCTTGCGACGCCGGCACACTCACTAGGCTAATCCTCTGCCTTGCGACGCCCGCACACCGGGTTCTAGTCCCAGTCGGGGCGCCAGATTCTGTCCCGGTTGCCCCTCTTCCAGGCCAGCTCTCTGCTGTGGCCAGGGAGTGCAGTGGAGGATGGCCCAAGTCCTTGGGCCCTGCACCCCATGGGAGACCAGGAGAAGTACCTGGCTCCTGCCATTGGATCAGTGCGGTGCGCCGGCCGCAGCACTCCTGCCGCGGCGGCCATTGGAGGGTGAACCAACGGCAAAGGAAGACCTTTCTCTCTGTCTCTCTCTCTCACTGTCCACTCTGCCTGTCAAAAAAGAAAAAAAGAAAAAGAAAAAAAGAAAATCCTGAGACACAGAATGTTAAGTCAATCTGCATGTACAGTTTTAGCAAAATTGTGACTGCTTCTCTTATGTTTCCAAATTTTGATCTGACGTAACATTAAGCTACGGAATCAAACCATAAAAATATACAAGCATATATTATAAACTTTTTATCTCCTTAGTGAATATGAATTGAAACTTATAAAGATGTTTCCATTTTACTAACAAATTCTTTATGAAATAATGCCAAACGCTTACCTTGGCTACAAACTGTACAGTCAAATTACTTTCATCTTACTACTACTTAATTACTCTTTTACTAATATTTTTAAATATTACAAAGAAATGACAAAGTTGTACTGAATATGTATAAAGCAATTCTACAAAAGATAAATAAATTAGCACTCAAAACAATCTTTATGAAAGATATTTATTCAATCTTCAAATTAAAATTATAAAAATTCATCATTTTTGCTGTTTTAGAAAACAAAAGAAACATGCCTACATTCTCCAAAGGGAGTAAAATGGTATTTTCCTTCCTCCCCACTACTCAGAAGGATAGTAATGATTCTTCTAATTTTTAAGCCAAGTTAGTTTCAAGAACATTTCAAAAAATTGTTTTGGTGACAATGTCTCAACAAAAAGCCTCTGCATTTATATCTCAAAAGTTTCAAATAGTGTCAATAAACTAGTACAAAAAAAATTTATCTCCACTGCATGTTTAAAGGCCTTTTGGACTGTGTTTAGTAGTAAGCAGGCTGCTGGTGTATCTTGGGAGAGGTCAAACGGCGCTGGGGAAGGGGAAAAGGAGCTTGCTTTCCATTCCTGTGTGCATGCAACAAGCAGCAAAACAGCAAAGTCACTCCAGTTAGCTTGTACTCAGCTGTGCTTTCTGTTAAAGGACATAATACAAATGGAGAAGGGAAATGCATCACAGAGCTAACACAGATGGTTATTCACACAGTAAGAATACAGATCAAAATCCCAAAGCTACTTAGAAAAATGTGCAGTACAGGCAGTAACCAAAAACCAAAAACAAAAAAATTTGATAAACTCTACATTCTCTGCTTCATGAAACCATTATTATAATCTGGTATTGTCTATGGTAATGTGAAATTGTTTTGATACAAATACTTAAAACCTCAAAATCAACTAAGTAGTACCTTCTTTCTAAAAACGTAACAAAATTAGTTCTAGAAATTTTAAACACAATTTTTTACTTAAGATAACAAGACAGTTTATTAAATTTCCTAAAGTCTATTCCAAATTATTCATGAAGGCATATTAAAATAATTTTATCTCACAAATACATATTTTAAAGTTGAACATGAAAGCAAAAAGAATGACTAGGTCACATCAAATATTCTTTATTCTTGTAAACAAGAATGTAACATGATAAATATTCTAAAAATCAAGATCTCACATTTTATCATTTCTTTTTATAATCTCGAAAAAACACAAAAGCTAAATCATTTAACTTAATCTCTTCTACAAAGCCTTTATTTAAAATTTGAGTTTTACCTAATGCAGAACACAGCAGAAGCACTAAAAACCACTAGTGCTCATCTAGGACTAAAACCCTCAATATTAAACTGCATTTCCGCTTCTCAATGCTGCAGTAGCAAAGTAAAATCTTAAGGCTGTTAAACATTTCAACTTCTATACCACTAAATTTCAAAATAAAATTTAGCTTAATGACATCTCAACCTAGAAATATTATTAGGTAAGCAAAATACATAGTTGTAAGAGTAACTTTTTAATTCTGTCATAATTATGGGTACATTTCTTCATTCCATCCTAAACTTTATGAAATAAGACACCTTTAAAATAACTACTACAATGATTTTGAAAGGATAATTTCTAATTTTCCCACAAAATAGCCTACCTGCCAGCAGAAGATCCATTTAATGAATTTTGAAGATTTGGAATATTTGAACCTAGGGAAGGATTTACATTTCCCTGCTGAGAACTCCCATTGACTGGGCTCCCATTACCTTTCAAAATACCAGTGCACTTCCAATTGTCCATATAATTAGCTGAAAGGGAAATGGTCAAATGTATTAGCAGGAAAGGAATTGAACATGGGATGTCTTGAAGCTTAGCCAAACTACACTTGGGAAACAGTAATTGCACAGGGTAAATTATCTTAGCTCTAATTCCAGATAGCAAGGAGAGGATCCCACCCATTACAGTGGTGGATAAGCACCCAGGGAAAAGTACAGAACCAAGAAGCCAGAGATCACAGTGTCAGCTGATCAGACTGCTGCCTCAGCTTGGTATCCAAAGAAACTTACAATCAGGGCCCCAAGGTTCTTAAATTTTAGGGAGTTGTAAAGAGAAAATAGGAAGTCACTGTCTCCTACTAAGAACTGATTTTTTAAAGCAATTATTTGATAAAATAAAAGATGACTCTAGTCCTATCCTGAATTTGCAGAGCAGATACTCTAGTTGCCTATGTGGGCAATGGTATCTTTTTATGGAAGATACTACATATTCTGTTAATTAGTTTTAGAAGTTCCTTTGCACCATACAAAACTTGAAAAGCAACACAGTCCTTAATTGCTATGAACTAGGTGAAATGATGTTCAACATAATATAAATTAATTAGACTAATTTAAAAGCAACTGCAAAAATTTCTTAAACAAAGAAAAAAGTAACTGCAAAAGAGTTTTTCCAAAACATTTCAGAGTTTACATTTAAGTTAAAAGTCTGAGTAGAAATATGAAGCAATAATCACTCCTTTCCTAAATCTTACCTTTCCACAATCGTACACAGCCATCATCTCCTGAAGATGCTAGCACTGTTCCTGTTATATTCCAGCTCACTCGCCAGACCTGAGAATTGTGATTATCAAACTGAGCCACTATATGGATTTCAAATTTTGTTGGCCCACCAGATGAAGTAAGTTCTTTCCTGTTAATAAAAATAATTTTCTGAGGAATTCTAAGTAAAGTTTCTTTTTCTTAATATATATACTTGCTAAGTAAAAAATACAAATAGTCTCATGTAGTTACCACATTATTTTATAATAACGTATATATCTAGATTCCCCTACCCCTTAGCCTTTCAGCTGGGATGGTGTCT